ATTGATCAGGAAAATGCTCCAAACACCATCCAGAGCTAATGTTGATGAAACGCCGTTGGGTAAATGAGCCTATTCAGAAAATAAATGACTGTCATGGTGGAAAGTTTCTGGAAACGTACCTGGATTGCTCTGCCCCTTTTCCAACTGTAACAGGAATACTTTGAAGGCTTTACCATTTTTTTAAAATGTTTTAGTATATACTATTGATCAGGAAAATGCTCCAAACACCATCCAGATCTAATGTTGACGAAACGCCGTTGGGTAAATGAGCCTATTCAGAAAATAAACGACGGTCTTGGTGGAAAGTTTCTGGAAACCTACCTGGATTGCTCTGCCCCCTTTTCAACTGTAACAGGAATACCTTGTAGGCTTTACCATGAGTTTTTGGCGTGGCGGGGGTGGGTTGAGGGGGGGGGTTGGTGGGTTTTGGGCAGTCGGCGTTCCCATGACCGGCAGGACTGTGGGAATGCCTTGAAGTAGAAGCCGAGATGTGATTGTAGGGCTATACATCCCGGCAGCTTCTGCTTTGTAGCGTTCGTTGATTGTCAGAAGGATGATGCGCTCCTACTTCGACCCCCCCCCACCCCACCCCTTCCCCCTCTTTCCCCCCCCTCCTCTTTCAGCTGGGAAATTGAATTGTGTTGGAATGCACTGTGCCTCTTTTCTTAGGCATTTGAATGGGCTCTTTAGTATTTCACACCAAGGTGTCCTTCAGGGTGTGAGGTCAGGCTACCAAAACAGCTTCTAGTGGCGGATTAGGACCAATTAACATCTTTGTACACAAAAGGGCTCTGGCAGCTGAACGGGCCGCGGGGCGACCCGCACGGCTGTTGCATGCCAGGCCGGGGAACCGCCGCACTTGAGCTGAAGTAGCCAAAAGAGGGGTGGGGAAAGTTTTCCCAAACCTAATGGGAAATGTTGCTACTTCACACCTCGCGAGCGCATAGCCCTTTGAGTACTCGTTACCTCGTGAAACTAGAGAGCAAACCTCGCACTTCATCGTCGTCACTTTGTGTGGAAGAGGGTACCTTTGGACGTTTTCGGACCCCCACCCCCTTTGGTTAAACAAGAGCTACCTATGTGGGACCTGTGTCAGGCCCAATACTGTATCTAAAGAGATGATTGCAGGAAGATGGAGGAATACACCCATACAACTTTAGAGAAAACATCTAAATTCTGATTTAAATTTTCATTTCTGATTGAACTAAATCCTGAGTATGTGTCACTCTTGTTTTCTGTTCGAACTGGATGTAATCTAAAGTCTGTCTAGCATTTTTAGTTGACAATCATCGGTGTACCAGCATTACCAGTTAATCCAGTTAAGCCTTGATATACAGTGGGGGAAATAAGTATTTGACACCTTGCTGATTTTGCAGGTTTGCCCACTTACAAAGAATGCTTATTTTTCCTCATCAGATGGTTATCAATTTTTTATAAATTCATATGATGTGATTTTCTAGAATTTTCTTTGGGATTCTGTCTTTCACTGTTAGAATGTACATATGATTAAAGTTATAGATCGTTGCATTCTTTGTAAGTGGGCAAACCTGCAAAATCAGCAAGGGCTCAAATACTTTTTTCCCCCACTATATGAGTGCAATAGATTCTAAAAAAAGAACGACACCGATGGAAAATCGGGGTCTGGCAGGTAGCTTAATTTAGTTATTTCTGGCTTAGGTGAAGTTAAGTTTGTGTCCTTATTGGAGAGGACAGTGCCATGGACAAACTTTACGAAACACCAGACAACTTAATGAACCAGAAAACCATGAGCTGCTTTTTATTTTAGTTACACTGACTTCTATATTGCACATTTTCTTTCCTTTTTTATGCACATCTCTTGGTTGCTAACTGTATGCACCTTTGTCTGTTTCAGCCTATTCCACTGTGTCGGGTGTAAATGGACCTCTGGTCATCCTGGATAATGTGAAGGTGAGTGTCTGAGGGCTTTTTCCATTTCAGTTTTTTAGATGCTGAAAGAAGTTGTGAGAGATTTGTTCTATTCATTTATTCGACGGTCATCTTTCACATCTATTATTTAAAATCTTTTGCTGAACGCTTTCCTTTTGAAGGGTTTAAACCGTGTGTCATTTAGTTCCCCAGATATGCTGAAATCGTTCATTTGACCCTGCCGGACGGCACCAAGAGGAGTGGGCAAGTCCTGGAAGTGATCGGCAGCAAGGCCGTTGTTCAGGTAAGGCAGTGTTTTTCAACCTTTTTTTGAGCCAAGGTACATTTTTTCATAGAAAAAATCACGAGGCACACCACCAACCAAAAATGTTAAACAAATCTGTAGCCGCCTATAGTAACACTATAGTTATTCTTATTTTATTCTTATCTTAAGTGTCTTGAATAGGAATCAAATAAACACAAACATTTATTTTGATCATATTTTATATTTCTTCTTTCAAATTGCTCTTAACATGTCCACTTCAATGTACAAAATTATATACAAAATCTAGTCATAAGGAATTATTACATGATTACGCCACCAGTCACTAGAACAGCACAGACACTCAAAAATGGCAAATTATTTGCAAATAATTAATTCTTTATCAAAAAATTTTTTTAGACCAATGAGGTGAAATAGGATGATTTTCTACGGCACACCTGACCATCACTCTAGTGGTTAAAAAACACTGAGGAACTGCCACCGTCTCAGAAGTCTACTTCTTTCTGTATTCGTCTCATTTCCTTTGAGTCCTCCTGTTGAATGGCGTAAGGTTTATCCCAGAAATAAAAGCACCAAACGGTGGATTGCACTGAGGTGTGGCACTTCTCCCAGTGGTGGCAACTCAAGGTGGAAGACCTGCCACTCTGCACCGCTCAAGATCTGAATATGTTTTTCTTCGTTATTCTCCCACCTCTTGACTTTGGCTCTTTAAGCTGCCCTCAGCTTTTTAACCAACATAAAAGGCTCCCTGTAAAAAGCCGTCCTTACATTTTCTTTCTTCTGGCTCCTTTTCCTCAGACATTCTGCCCCTCTAAGCACTGCTAGCCTTCGTCTCAACTATTCCCTCACTCTCTTCCTCTGTTGCTTTTGTCCACCGCCGTCCTGAATTTATAGATAAATCTCTAATGACTGCCTCCTGTTTTTAGCTGCTGTTTACCCAAGGCCTCTTAACTCCACCTTTCTTTCCATATTTCTCTCTTTGACTGGCCCTTCAGCTCATCCCTTCGTCCTCCACCTCTTTTCTACCTGCTGCTGGACTTCCTGTGGCTCACTCGTCTGACTTCATAAACTCTTCTTCTACCACACACCTCTACCATTATCATTAGTGTTGCTGTGTTGGCTGCCTCTCTCTGCTCCCTCTGTCCTTCTCTCGCCCTCTCTCTCTGTCTCTCGCCCTCTCTCTCCCTCACCCCCAACCGGCCGAGGCAGATGGCCGCCCACCCTGAGCCAAGGTTCTGCTCCAGGTTTCTGCCTGTTAAAAGGAAGTTTTTCCTTGCCTGTGTCGCCTAGTGCTTGCTCATGGTGGGAATTGTTGGGTTTCTGTAGTTAACTTCAGAGTAGGTCTGACCTGCTCTGTTTGGAAAGCTGTGAGACAACTGTTGTTGTGATGTGACGCTATAGAAATAAAATTGAATTGAATTGAATCGAACCCCTGATGAACAAATGGCCGTGGGCCTTATTCATTAGTTCCCACTGGAACGTGTCAGCAATTAACTTTCATTTTTTGAATCTCCTCTTTATGACTGTGGGAGAAGTCTTCAGAAACTTTTTATTTTTTTGTAATTGCACAAATTTTAATCATCATTTCTTGTCTGGCAATACTTGCTCCTCTTTTCTTCTCTGAAGGTCAGAACCGCTTATTAGTCTGGAGGAATGATATGTTTGCAGCATTTTAACTTCAATATGTGTTTTGTGAAAGGGAAACGGCGAAGAAAAAAAATCCCCCCTTCGGTGAACGAAAAAGGGTTTTTGAATGTGGTATTGGAAACATGGCCGGTGCGGGAAAACATCTGAGGAATGAGTCAGAGGGTTCTATTAAAAAATTAAATAAGAGCAGGTGATTTATTTTGAAGTGGGGCAGGAAATCCCTCCCAGGATGTGACATAATCAGATCACTGGAGATTCCAGATGGACAAACATTTAACGCACATTAGCAAAACAAATGCAATCATTCACATCCCAGAACTATATGGCCAGCTTTTTTTAAACAGGACTGAATTACACACATAATTAATTCCATCCATCCAGTGGGGGGGGCGGAGCCTATCCCAGTAGCCAATGGGGAGAGGCGGGGTCACCCTGGACGGTGCTCAGTCCATCACAGGGACGCACAGAGACACACAAGGACCCACAACCACACACACTCACACTAAGGGCAGTTTGGAGTCCAACCAACCTAACATGCAGGTTTTGGACGGTGGGAGGAAGCCGGAGAACCCGGAGAGAACCCACAGACACAGGAGAACATGCAGACTCCACCCAGAACCCTCTGGTCCTGGTTCCCCCGTGACTCCAACCCAGAACCCTCTGGTCCTGGTTCCCCCGGGACTCCAACCCAGAACCCTCTGGTCCTGGTTCCCCCGGGACTCCCACCCAGAACCCTCTGGTCCTGGCTCCCCCGGGACTAAAACCCAGAAAGGTCCTGGTTCCCCCGGGACTCCAACCCAGAACCCCCTGGCTATGTGGTGATTGTGCTAACATAACACCACCGTGCCGCCATGATTAATTCCATTCCTTTATTAATTCAATACACATTTAGTAGTTGTGGCTTAATTCCATTGGATGGTTTTACACTCTTTCACTTTCAAACCCGTGCGTTTGCTTTCTTTGTTTAGTCAGCATGTTTGCTTCACCTGTCAGAGAGACTTTGGCCCCTACGTAGATGTTCATGCTCTGCTCTGTCCACATTCCCTCAGGTGTTCGAGGGCACATCAGGGATCGACGCCAAGAAGACGGCCTGCGAGTTCACCGGAGATATCCTGCGCACGCCCGTGTCTGAAGACATGCTGGGTACGACCAAAGAAACATCCCGCAACCCCCTTAGTTTAGGTTCGGTTCCCAGTAGGGATGGGACGGTTTCTGAAAACCGTCTGAACCGTTGGGTTCTGTCTGGGTTGGGTTGGCGTGTGTTGCGTTCGGTTCCTGCTGCTCCTTTTTCTCAGAGGGAAGCGTTTACACTCCAGAGCAGAAGGGGGCGCTACTGCGCCCAAAGCCCACCACCAGTAGGAAACCAGAAGAAGAAGAAGCAGCGTAGCCCATAAAAATCAGACCCAGCAGCAGTTTCTAGGTCTGCTGTATGGACCAGTTTTCATTTAGAGGGAAGCACATGTTGGAATTAGCACCGTTTCCTCTCTGGCAGAATCTCACCTACTTTTAACCTCAGACTGTCACAAAGATGTATCAAATGTCATGTTTAACCTGACTATACAATACATAATAGATTGTCCTAACAATCAACATATACCGAACCAAAAACCGTGACTACGAAACTGAATCGAACCGAACCGTGGATTTTGTGAACCGTCCCACCCCTAGTTCCCAGTAGGGTTGTCAAAAGTATCGATCCTCAAAAAAGTATCGATGCTAAAATGTTGTATCCGTATACGATACTCATTTTCAAAAGTATCGATACCATCCTCCTTCTCTCTGATTTATTTATGTATTTTTTTACATAGTTTATGGTCATTAACAAGACGTTAGCCTTGCTAGCTGCGGCTAATGGCTAATAATAACACGCTACCATTGGTCAAGTACATATCCAACTCCGCCCACATCCAAGTCACCAATAGGAAGATCCCAGGCAAGAAAATGGTAATGCCTCATGGCAATATAGACATTGATTTAAAAATAGTGAAATTAATCTTCCGAACACTTAATTAAACTCTATCCATAATATTATGGTAAAATAGTGTAATGTTAAATGGTTTGTAGACTAATTCCAAACAAGTTTAACCAAAAAATATTTATTTCTCACAATTATGAAGGCTGTAGGGTCAGGGTTAGGGTTAGGGTTAGGGTTAGGTTTAGGATTAGGATTAGGGTTATTAATGCGGGCCACCAGTCACAATAACATCAGTAACAGGTCAGTTTGAAATGAAAGACACTAACCTGTCAAAATCCAGTTACATTTTGGGGTCTTTGTTTTTATCCTTGTGGTATTGAAAATGGTATCGAGTATCGAGTATTTTCCTGATTATCGGTATCGAGTTGAAAATTTCAGTATCGTGACAACCCTAGTTCCCAGTCTCAGAGGCCTGCTTTCTCAGTCTAATCGATGAGCTGTGAAACCCTTCAGATGCAGAATAAATCCCTGTCTTGAGTTTCAGTCTGCTTAGTAGACAGAATGAGAACAAAAACTGAATCGCTGCTTTTATTGGAATGGTCTTGAACGTCTCATTAATGTGATTATCTCAGCACAGCACAAGGTCACCTGCGTTCTGTGCGAGCAGAAAGTAAATCTGCCTTTTGTTTCCCGAGTGTCATTAATCATGTCCCTGAATCTCTGATAATTTTCACTTGCCAGAGCGAGAGCCACCAGAGCTGTGCTTACAGTATCTCTATATCTTACAGAAAACGGAATAGATCAGATGTAGCGAAGCTTTTTCTGTTTGTTTACGTAGCCGTCCTTGAGTTCAGGCTCTACGTTCATCAGATGTTTGACGACCAAAAGACTTGATTTGAAAGAGAAAAATCCTTCTTTCAGGACGCGTGTTCAACGGATCGGGAAAACCCATCGATCGCGGGCCCACCGTTCTGGCCGAGGACTACCTGGACATCATGGGTAAACCTTCTTTATCTCTCATTCTGATCTTCAGAGGGACACAGAAAGACATAGAGACATAGATAGACAATCGGATAAATAAAAATTTGTGGTTATAATAGAATCAAAAAAAGCATAGAAGCATCTGCAGTGTGTTAAATGTAAAAAAAATAACTGGTAATCTTGAAATATGACTCTTTTTTTCTGATTGATCATGTGGTTTCATGAGGTCAGGAAAAGCCCGCTGATGTAAAATGGCACTCGGCACTTTTTCCAGCCAAAGAATGAAAAAGATATTTGCTATTGGGCTCATGTTGGCAACACATTTGGCACATTTCTTTTAGATGGCAGCATTCCTCACAGTCACAAATCTAATGTGGCTGCTGTCTTTGAATATTTGTGAAAGTATTCCAGAATATGAGAGCATGAAGAAAGATTAATTTTTTGTTTTTCTTCACTCTGGGCCGTAATTAATTTAGCTGAAACTCAAACTACACCCAGGACTGATTGGACCTAAGTTAATTAACTCATTGACTGGCAGCCATTTTCAGAACAGAGTCCCATACTGCCAGAGTTTTTTGAGCATTTTGACAGATTTTTCAAGAGCCACAGAATAGTTTGTGCTATGACTATGTAAACACCGAACACACCAAAAGAAAGAGTAGACTCTCTTCTTTCATCAGGAAAAATTTTTTTGTTCCTACCTTATTCCGTTCTTCCTGGACTTGCGTCTCACCGGCGACATGTTCTCTCATAGAACCGTTAGCTTTTTTTTATTTGCCTACAGTCTATGCTCATCTCCCATCAAAAGTGGCACTGCCCCCTAGAGGGTCAATTTGTTACTACATACTCTGTCTAGAAGCCCATATTTACGGACAAACTTTAGCAGATCGTCCCCCAGACACTCGTTGAAAAACATAAAAGACGTCTATAGACGTCTTTGGCAGCCAATGAGTTAAAAGCCTGTTTGTTCCTGGCAGGTCAGCCAATCAACCCTCAGTGCCGTATCTACCCTGAGGAGATGATCCAGACTGGCATTTCAGCCATTGATGGCATGAACAGCATCGCCAGAGGTCAGAAGATCCCCATTTTCTCTGCTGCTGGATTGCCCCACAATGAGGTGAGCCTGGGACACTGATAATATCAATAAAACCAACACCGAACTGATTAAGTAGAAACCAATCTAGATTTTACACAAGACAAATGTATTTCTTTGTAAAAGTCCAGAGCGATCATTTCAACTTGTTAATAACCGGCTCGTAGATCTACTGTGGGGGAAATAAGTATTTGAGCCCTTGCTGATTTTGCAGGTTTGCCCACTTACAAAGAATGCTTATTTTTCCTCATCAGATGGTTATCAATTTTTATAAATTCATATGATGTGATTTTCTGGCATTTTCTTTGGGATTCTGTCTTTCACTGTTAGAATGTACATATGATTAAAGTTATAGATCGTTGCATTCTTTGTAAGTGGGCAAACCTGCAAAATCAGCAAGGGGTCAAATACTTATTTCCCCCACTTTATTTATACCATAACAGAAAATAACAATAAAACAAGGAGTGGACACAACTGGAGAGGGGTGACCAGTTATTTCCGGTTTTAAACTAAATAGTTCTCCTCCGCACGCAGATTTTAGTTGGAGGCTTTGGAAATCATTAAGAAAGGGTCAGGTTCAAGGAAAAAAACAAACCTGAAGGCAACCATTCCTTTGTGTTTTTAAGTTTTGTGTGTGTTTAATAGTCTCCAAAACGGTCAAAACGTCCAAAATGGCCACGTCAGCAGGAGCATTTTAGACCTCACCCTCATCTCTGGAGTCTGTACCTCCACAGAATAAAGGGGGCGCATGTTTTGATCCATGGGCCATAAAAAAAAAGCAGTTACCAGTACCCAATTTAATGATGATTTAATTCCGTACAAAAGAACGTTGGGTGTTGATATGAATAGATTAGTTTACACCCTGGCCGTGTTCTCAAAGGATGTAGATTTGGTTACACTTTACCATAACCACTGTTTATGAATGGTATATAGACCATTTATAAATGCTATATATATCATTTATAAATGGTAAACAGTTTATTAATGTTTAACCATAATTTCTAAACGGCACATAGACCATTTATAAATGGTAAATAATTATAGATTTAATATGCAGACCTTTTAGTAGCACATTGTAAATGGTTAATAATAAATATTGGTTTATAAACCCTCTATTAATATTACTTAAATGGTTCTTGTAAATTTGCAACTGGTGTGTATAATAATTACTAAATAGATAATTTAATAATTTAATAGATATTAAATAATTATTTATTGATTAATGAGCTGTTTGTAAACCATCAATTAACAATATTACTGTAGATTTTTCTGTCCTAGTACCCCAGAATGGACCAGATCAGTCGGGGCTCTTTAGGTGGGCTCAGGTGGCAAATCTTCCATTCTCACTGTCTGCATTACCACAAAAACGCCTCTGTTCTCTGTTTTTCTTGTTTTTATTGCTTCAGTTCACTCATTTTGGTGCTGTGAAAAACAGATCCATTCTTTTCTTTGCAGTAAAGAAGCAGGAAATCGCATTTAAACTCATCAACTAATGCTTTTGTGCCGGTCCAAAATCAAAATATCACATGGTCTCAAACCAGCACGGTGATATTTCCTTTTTTGCCTTTTTTAAAAGTGTGTAATAGGATCAGATAATACAGTGATGGAACACTGTATCTGCTAAGAAAACGTCGTATCCTGCTAAAACATTATATATGCAGATCCTTAATTGTAAATTTCTCATCTTTTCAGACATGGAGCACATGCTGTGTTTTAAAAAAGCTTTTCAGCACTCAAAGATACAATTACAGTGTTGAAATGAAAAGAATTTTAAAATGTATTTGAAAAGATTTCATCATTTAGGACATTATAGGATTTTTTCCCCTCCTAAACCAGGAAAATTTGGTGTTAATGGAAACATTGGGACGTTTTGAGACTATACAGTTGTTTATTAGCCTGTCTTTTGACCAGTTTTTGTTATTAATGCTTCCAGATCGCCGCTCAGATCTGTCGCCAGGCCGGCCTCGTGCAGAAGTCCAAGGACGTGATGGACTACACCGCCGAAAACTTCGCCATTGTTTTCGCCGCCATGGGGGTGAGTGCATCCCCTCCGGAGTAAAGTCGAGCGAGCCCCCACCCGTTTCGGGCGGTAATCCCCCTCTTAACCCTGACGTGACACCCTGTCCCCTCTCTCCCGCCTGCCTTTCTTTTATTCGCCAGGTGATTTAACCTTTAAGTCCCCCTCATTACTTCTGCACTTGTGAGCATGTCCGTGTTGACAGGTTTCCTAATTCAGCAGAGCTTTTAACACCGTCGGCCACGCCGTATCAAGTTCTCGGCTTCTTCCGCCCGTATTGTGACAGCTTGACCCCCACCCAACACACACACACACACACACTCATTTACAGCACTTGCTAAATGCTAATCCGTCCTTTTCCGCCGCTTACCCCATTTTGGGTTCGGCTGGCAGCAGAGTTCAGGTTGGATAAAAGGATGTGCATTTTTAAAAAGGGCACCAGCAATGCATCTGTTTCAAGGGGGATGGAAAATAAAAGGTTGATAGACACTGTTTAATGCAGCCCTGCAGGGCTCACGTTGAAGGCCACGGCCTTTTTCTGTGTCTCCCTTTTTAGTCAGGTTAGTCCCCCAACTCACGATTGTTGAATAACTTTGTAATGTAATGGATGAAAAGGAACCATTTTACCAACAATCACTTTGACAAGTAAGAATGACCCCTTTCCCCACAAAAAAACAAAACAGAGATGTACAGTTTGTATGTGTTTGTGTGTGTGTGTGTGTGTGTGTGTGTGTGTATATATATATATATACACACACACACACACACACACATATATACACAGTGGGTAAAATAAGTATTTGACCCCTTGCTGATTTAGCAGGTTTGCCCACTTACAAAGAATGCAACGATCTATAACTTTAATCATACGTACATTCTAACAGTGAAAGACAGAATCCCAAAGAAAATTCCACAAAATCACATCATATGAATTTATAAAAATTGATAACCATCTGATGAGGAAAAATAAGCATTCTTTGTAAGTGGGCAAACCTGCAAAATGAATAAAGGGTCAAATATTTATTTCCCCCACTGTATATAGATAGATGTAGATGTTTTTTTTTACTTTCAATACTTGACATATCTTTTATGTCTCAGGTCAACATGGAAACTGCTCGCTTCTTCAAGTCTGACTTTGAGGAAAATGGCTCCATGGACAACGTTTGCCTTTTCCTAAACCTGGCCAACGACCCCACGTAAGCTGTAGCTGGAACTCCACATCGTGACATATATGTTTATGTTTATGTTTATGCATTTGGCAGACGCTTTTATCCAAAGTGACTTACAGAGTAGACACAATATTACATTTCTCATCACTATGACAATAAGCTGCTTCTCTTTGGAAAGATTCCCTACTTTATGGTTTTCATTTGCATTGTACACAGAAGCTTTCACTGCTACGTCTTTAGCCTAAATGCTAACAAGTAGGAAGCTTTTTGGTGAACCAGAACACTTTATTTTCAAATCTTTGAATGCATTAATACATCTAGATGCATTTCATTTTTAAAAAACACACTATTTAAAAGCAAGAAATAAATGACTTCCTGCGCACATACAACAATTGTTTACTGATAGAGATGGAAAATATAATCTAAGAGGAAAATTAAATTTCAAAACTAAGTATGTTCGAACAACAAAAAGAACCTTCAGTTTATCAGTTAGCGTTAGAGTGAAAACATTAAACAATGTAAAAGCATCCAGCAATGAAAAAAAGAATATAAGAAAAGTATTTGTGATGAATACAAAAAAATAAGTAATATATAAAAAGTTGGTATACTGTTTGTCTTACTGTAAATAATTGTCCTTTACCACCACGACTCATGTAACTGAGGGGTGGGGCTTAATAAGCTAATAGTTAATCTTACTCCTTTTTTAAACATGATGCATGTTTATGAAGCATTCAACGTAAACTTTGTTAAATCATATCACGTTTCAAATGAAATAAATGAAAAAATGAAATGAATGAAATTTAAGGTATCCTTGCATTAAGTGGACCTTTTTTTTCTAAGTTAAACTAAAGAATCATAAGTTGTACTATATGGTACTCGCTTGTCAACTAACTAAATCCTTTTCTCCCCCGTTCTGTGGCCAATCAGCATTGAGCGCATCATCACGCCCCGCCTGGCGCTGACCACAGCAGAGTACCTGGCCTACCAGTGCGAGAAGCACGTGCTGGTCATCCTCACCGACATGAGCTCGTATGCGGAGGCCTTGAGAGAGGTACAGATGTCGGCAAATGTTCCCCTTCTAGGGATGGAACGGTTTCTGAAAACCGTCTGAACCGTTGGGTTCTGTCTCGGTTCGGTTGGCGTGTGTTGCGTTCGGTTCATGCTGCTCCTTTTTCTCAGAGGGAAGCGTTTACACTCCAGAGCAGAAGGGGGCGCTACTGCGCCCAAAGCCAACCACCAGTAGGAAACAAGAAGAAGAAGAAGCAGCGTAGCCCATAAAAATCAGACCGCCAACAGCAGTTTCTAGGTCTGCTGTATGGACCTCTTTGCATTTAGAGGGAAGCACATGTTGGAATTAGCACTGTTTCCTCTCTGGCAATGCCAGAATCTCACCTACTTTTAACCTAAGACTGTCACAATAATGTATCAAATGCCAGACTTCTTTTTTCTTTCAGTTTTAACCTGACTATACAAAACATAATAGATTTTCCTAACAATCAACATATACCGAACTGAACCCAAAACCATGACCACGAAACCGTGAATCGAACCGAACCGTGGATTTTGTGAACCGTCCCACCCCTATCCCCTTCTGGCTTTACTGTTATTCATCCCCGTCTCAGCCTGACTCCAAATCCAGTATTCAGGGCTACCTGAGACGTTCCTGACCGTGGACGGAATCAGTTTTCTGGAAATGATGACTTATGCAGAGCAGTCTGCCTCAGAAGAAGATAAGATGTCACACAGCTCGTTTATGGAAATGTCTGAGGAGAAGCCACCCTCAGGCTGACCTTTTTGGAGCTGGAAGAAATTGGCCTGTGCTGATTCAATCCACCCAGTATCCTCCACTGTCAGCCATACCCGGCTGGTTCCTTGAGCAGGGTGCACACAGAGACACACAACCACACCGTTTAGAGCGGGTTAGAGTCGGGCGTAGATGGCAGGCCTTCTGGAGGAGATGGCGTTAAGGGAAGAAGGCCAATAAAAACCAGGTGGGCTTCTTGAACGATGAGTTTTTTGTTTTTTTTAAAGGAAACTCAGAAATCCAACGCAGTGCCTGGGTTTTGCTTTTGTGGAGTTTTCCACTTCCTGTAACACCAATAGCATGTCCCTGAATCCTGAATAAACCCGATCGAAACAGAGAGCCCCTGATTGATCATATTGTGACCTGTTCCCCGTTTGTGAGGCGCTGTTGTCAAGTCTCAAGTAAAGACAGGTAAAGTCGAGTCAAGTCTCAAGTCGTGATTTTAACGACTCGAGTCCAAGTCATGTGACTCGAGTCCCCACCTTAGCTAAAGTCAACTATCTTACAGCAAAAGAAAAGTGCCACCTACCGATCTTTGTGAAGCTTCAAATGCCGGACAACGTTGGACGTCGTGGCCTCTCCATCCGATATTCTCTTCTTGCATGTTTTACAAGTTGCAGTTTGTTTTTTAGTCGAAATTTCATAACCTTACGTAGCCAAAAGAAATGACTCGCGGAAGCATATTCGAGCGGTTATTTCGTATTTCGTTCCCTGAGCTCTGTAGCTTCGCCGCGTTTTTTTAAACGTCCAAATCCTGTTAATTTGACACATCCATACATAAGGAGAGAGGAAAAACATAGTGACGGTCTGTGCATATTGATACGGAATGAGTTGAATTAATTAATGACGCCACTTTATAAATAATGTGTCTTAAATTTTAAGACTTTGAGTAAAAAATATCAAGTCTTTTCAAGTAAACAGCTTCAAGTCGAGTCAAGTCCGAAGTCAAAGGCATGAAAGTCAAAGTCAAGTCCGAGTCTTTGAGCATTTTTTCAAGTCAAGTCTCAAGTCGCGATTTTAACGACTCGAGTCCAAGTCATGTGACTCGAGTCCCCACCTCTGTTTGCTGGACTTGAAAAGGATCCCTGCTGGTATCACGCCGCTCAGCCCCGTTGTTCTCGCTCTCTGTGGAGAGAAAATGCAGCACAATTCCACGTTTTCAATGGTTCGCGCAGGCTTCGTCTTCTTGAATTAGCCGTTTCTAACCTTGGCTCATGTGTGGGTTGGACTGAAGACCCGGGCAAACCGACGGGATTCATTCTCCACAAAGAGGGAAGACATTCTAATTTTTCTTCTGTTCACATTCAGGTGTGAAGGTTGAGTTGTGCATTGAATGCGCCGCTCACAAGTGCCTAGCCTGCCCGTCACCCTTTTTAATCCGGAGAAGAATGACGTGCACTTTCTTTTTCCTCGCCGCTTTGAATTCACTTGACTTTTGGAAACAAGGTTTTTTAGTTTTGGTCATTTCTGTAAAGGATCTGAGAAGAGAATGGCAACACTTTGAACCACCTGTCTTCCTCTTCTTGAGGCACAATGAAGAAGGAAGGAGGCATCACTTGACTCCGAACGAGTGAAATATTTCCGCGGAGATTTTTTTTTCTCCCTGTTTACGAACAATTGTTTCGACAAAAAGGCCGCGAGAAAAAGTGGTTGAAAACATGTTTTTTTTTTCTCCTTTTGTCATGGAGCCGTTCTCCATTCCACAACCGCTTTACCTCAGGCCTCCTTTGAAAGGCCAGAGCTTCTGAATGAGGAACATGCAGACATCTGCATTTCGGAGAACAAAACCAAGAAATGTAAAGTAGTCACTAACGTCTAGACATCTTTTACCAACTGTTTCTGTCCATCGTAGTGATTTTAAAGGGATGTTTATGTGGTTTGGCATTAGTGCTGATCAACTTGAATGTCTGAGATGGTTGAAAAGCATATTTTTTTCCCTCTAAATCCTCCTTTTTCTGCTTTATAAGCAGAGGGTATGCTGATTCAAAGGCATTCTAAACCTATTACAGAGCAAAGAAAAAAACGATCTATTCAAGCTGCTACGAGTAAAACATTAAACATGATTCGAGCTGAGTTAATGAACAGAGCTCCACAGAGGCCGGGAAAGGGAAAATTACACTTTTATATTTTTTATTTTAGGCCAGCTTTTCATATTTTTAGCACTTCAATGCAATTTGTTTGCAAGCTTTGGTTATATCATTAAAACATTTTAATTATTTCCCATTTGAATGCGTGATTCAGTGTTTTTTTGTACACTAAACGAGGTCAGTCTAGTTCAATCCGAAGGCATGGCCATGACTTCTTCTGAAAAACAGCTTTTGATTTTCTTTTTATTTGAGGGAATCTCTCTTTCCACGGCTGCCTCTTTTCAAAATCCTCGTAAATTCTCGAAAACTTAGTTTTTTGCACCGTAGAAACTTGGGTTTGAAAATGCTTTGGATGGACAGTGTTTCAGTGTTTTTCCTCTCCCACCGACCCCTTCAGGTGTCTGCCGCCCGAGAGGAAGTGCCGGGCCGTCGGGGGTTCCCCGGGTACATGTACACCGATCTGGCCACCATTTACGAGCGCGCCGGGCGAGTGGAGGGCAGGAACGGCTCCATCACCCAGATCCCCATCCTCACCATGCCCAACGACGGTAAGGCCGCCCGCCGTGTAGGAGCCATTTATCCTTTTCTGTTTATCGCCACCAGGGGGCGTATTTCATTTTGAGTTCTGTGTGTCTAACGAGGGATGCGTTATTTAAGGTCTACCTTGATTGTGTTCAGGTGTTGTTGATAAGAAGGGGCAAGTTTTCTACTGTGTTTCTGGTTGATTTTCGATGGCAGAATGTAGGTGAATTGCAATGGAAATAGCAACGATGGACATTATGCAAACAATAAACGACTTTATTATAAATCAAAACAAAGACTGGCATCCGGAATTCTTAATAGAGCACACGTAAGACCAACGCCTTCAACAGTCAACAACCAGTAGCCTAAAATACTGGATTTTAGCCGCTACACGCCGCTAACTCAGGACTGAAGAGCCTCTTCTCAACTCTCAGAAATTACAGCAGAACTCTACTTCCGATCGCCTAAACATACGAATTTTTCACCATACGAAGTTAAATATTATCAAATATTCGACTCGACTTGTGTCAAGTCATAGAAAAATATCGATAAATCTAAAAATTTAATAGAAATAAATAATCTAAGTTAGTTTAAAGTTCAGGTAGTGAAGTATCTCAGTCTCCACCTGCCAATAAAACCCCTTTTTTAGTGATTATTTCCTAGTAATTTATTTCTTTTTCCATCTCTCTTCTATAAGTAATTTGTTTTTACTGCTATGTGTAATTATCTGCAGTTTTTATTAAGGCGTTATTGTAGTTTTTTGGAACCAATTATAGGAATTACATTTATTCTGAAGGGAATATTTGAACCAACATACCAATATTTTAACATAGGAAGTGGTTCCTTGAACAAATTAAATTTGTATGTAGAGGTTCTGCTGTATTTCAAAATGAATCTTTCTCCTTTTAATAAGTCTGTGAATAAGTTGGGGTGCCACGTAATTTAAAAATGTTTTTTTTAATTGGATTTAAAAACTGAACATTAAGACTTGGAAACGGTTTGAATTGAGCCCATGGATTTATTTGAAACCCTCGGTATCGAGTTTTGAAACTGAGAAATTCCACCTTTGTTTACAAAGGGAATCCTTAACACTGCCATTGTTTTGTCCCTGCCTAACAGATATCACCCATCCCATCCCTGATCTGACTGGATACATCACAGAGGGGCAGGTCTACGTCGACAGGCAGCTGCACAACAGACAGGTATCTTCCTCTTCCTTCACCACGGCAAACGTTGAGCTACTTCTCCGCAGCTTGCTCTCAAAAAACCAGAAAAAGCAAAACAAAACGAGCCTTTTCTGTCTTTAACTCATTGACTGCCAGCCATTTTCAGAACAGAGTCCCATACTGCCAGAGTTTTTTGAGCATTTTGACAGATTTTTCAAGAGCTACAGAATAGTTTGTGCTATGACTATGTAAACACCGAACACACCGAAAGAAAGAGTAAACTCTCTTCTTTCATCAGGAAAGATTTTTTGTTTCTACCTTATTCCGTTCTTCCTGGACTTGCGTCTCACCGGCGACATGTTCTCTCATAGCGAACCGTTCCCTTTTTCTTATTTGCCTACAGTCTATGCTCATCTAACATCAAAAGTGGCACTGCCCCCTAGAGGGTCAATTTGTTACTACATACTCTGTCTAGAAGCCCATATTTACGGACAAGCTTTAGCAGATCGTCCCCAAAGCCACTCTCGTTGAAAAACATAAAAGACGTCTATAGACGGCTTTGGCAGTCAACGGTTGTATTTGAATTGTCGTCTATAGACGTCTTTGGCAGCAAATGAGTTAAAAAAAATTTTGCTTTCAGATCTACCCGCCCATCAATGTGCTGCCCTCGCTGTCCCGTCTGATGAAGTCTGCCATCGGGGAGGGGATGACCAGGAAGGACCACGCCGATGTCTCCAACCAGCTGGTGAGGAACCCCCGCCTAAGCCCCGCCCATAACCCGCATAAGCCCCGCCCATAACCCCGCCCACAGTGTTGGGGAGTAACGGATTACATGTAACGACGTTACGTAATTTAATTACAAAAAAAGAGGTAACTGTAATTCGTTACAGTCACAATGAGAAGATATGTAATTCAGTTACAGTTACTTTCCGAAAATATTAAGAATGACAAATTTAGTTACATTTTCTAAAAAATATAAAGAAAAACCTTTGCGAAATATGCAACTCACTGATAGACAAAGCGTATTGATTTACTAATATTTGACTGTTTGGTGTTGATGCATCTATGACCTAGCCGAGAATACCTAGCCTACCCAACTGTAGGGTGACCAGACGTCCTCTTTTTCCCGGACATGTCCTACATTTCAGACTAGGGTTGTCAAAAGTATCGATACTTAAAAAAGTATTGATACTAAAATGTTGTATCCGGATACGATACTCATTTTCAAAAGTATCGATACCCCCCCTTCTCTCTGATTTATTTATGTATTTATTTACATTGTTTATGATCATTAACAAGACGTTAGCCTTATGCTGCTAGCTGCGGCCAATAGCTAATAATAACATGCTAAAATTGATCATGGGTCAATACTCATTAAAACCTTAAAGTAATCAAAAAGTAATCAAAAGTAATTAGTTACATTACTGTTTAAAAGTAATAGAAAAAGTTACACTACAATTACATTTTAAACAAGGTAACTTGTAACTGTAACGGATTACATTTTTAAAGTATCTTACCCAACACTGCCCGCCCATAACCCCGCCTAAGCCCCGCCCATAACCCCGCCCAAGCCCCGCCCATAACCCCGCCTAAGCCTCTCCCTGTCTGCAGTACGCCTGCTACGCCATCGGTAAGGACGTGCAGGCCATGAAGGCCGTGGTGGGAGAGGAAGCCCTCACCTCCGACGACCTGCTCTACCTGGAGTTCCTGCAGAAGTTTGAGAAGAACTTCATCGCTCAGGGTGAGAACAGGCCGAGGCATTTAGGCTCCGGGTTTTGACGTACATGTCTTTAGAGAAATGTTTGGCACGCGGTTGATTTGTTTGGAGGGAAATGTCCCTAGAAGCACAGCTTCAAATGTCCCTTTTGTGTTTATCGTAGTCCTCATAATCCAAAAGAGATAACTTCAATTCAATTCAATGCTTATTTTTCCTCATCAGATGGTTATCAATTTTTCATATGACGTGATTTTCTGGAATTTTCTTTGGGATTCTGTCTTTCACTGTTAAAATATACATATGATTAAAGTTATAGATCGTTGCATTCTTTGTAAGTGGGCAAACCTGCAAAATCAGCAAGGGCTCAAATACGTATTTCCCCCACTGTAGCTCCAAATCCCAACAACAGTTCTGTCCCAGCTTTCCAAACAGAATAGGTCAGACCAACTCTGAAGTTATTTACAAAAGAACAACAGTTCCCAACAAAAGCAGCACTAGGCGACCCAGGGAAGGAAAAACTGCCTTTAGGAGGAAGACACCTGGAGCAAAATGTTTGGCCATCGGTGGATTTGTTTGGAGCAAAATTTTCCTAGAAGCGAAGCTTCAAATGTCCCTTTTGTGTATTGCGTAGTCCTCATAATCCAAAAGAGATAACTTCAATTCAATTCAGTTTTATTCCTATAGCTCCAAATCCCAACAACAGTTATCTCCCAGCTTTCCAAACAGAATAGGTCAGACCAACTCTGAAGTTATTTACAAAAGAACAACAGTTCCCAACAAAAGCAGCACTAGGCGACCCAGGGAAGGAAAAACTGCCTTTAGGAGGAAGACACCTGGAGCAAAATGTTTGGCCATCGGTGGATTTGTTTGGAGCAAAATTTTCCTAGAAGCGAAGCTTCAAATGTCCCTTTTGTGTATTGCGTAGTCCTCATAATCCAAAAGAGATAACTTCAATTCAATTCAGTTTTATTCCTATAGCTCCAAATCCCAACAACAGTTATCTCCCAGCTTTCCAAACAGAATAGGTCAGACCAACTCTGAAGTTATTCACAGAATATCAACAGTTCCCAACAAGAGCAGCACTAGGAGACCCAGGGAAGGAAAAACTGCCTTTTAACAGGCAGAAACCTGGAACACAACCATGGGGGAAGAGGACAAGGGATGCACAGTAAAACATAGACTGGATTAGCAATGGTCCAGATATTGATAGTAATGATAACGATAGCAGTAACAATAAGACTATTAACAGGTGCCAAGCAGAAAAAAAACACAAAAAAAGGCCAGATTAGTCGAATGTTAACTATCAGGACTGGTCCAGCCACCAATTTGAAGCCGTCCAGTGGAAACAAGGTGAGCATGAGTGCTGTGAGAAACGCATTTAAGTCGCATCGTTTCCTTTATTACAACACTTTGCTGTGGAAAAAAAAAAAAAAAAAAAATGAGGTGCTTGTTGTGGAATTCATATTGTATTTTTGAGTTTAGCCTTG